AAATTCACCAGGTACCATCATCTCCTGGAGCCTATTTCACTGACTCTCTCAAAACTATCGCGAACGGTTTTATCGTAATGCAATTATAGCCAAAATGTAAGTCAATTTAATTTAGTATAAACTTTTAATATCATATATGATATCTGATTAATACATTTATACTATAATTATTATACAGTAGTTTAGGTTTATATTGATTGTAAAGATCACTGAAGACAACAACATTGATGGCAATGGCGAAGAAGGACTCGTTTGATCGCTTCGGTGATGATTTGTGTCAACTATTGCTTCAATATCTGCCAATCGATGACAAACTAAGACTACAATCGGTGTCCAAACAGTGGTTGGAATTGATATTCAATACACAAACAGATCTTATATTTAATAAGAAACTATTGGAAACATTGTCTTTGAATTCAACAATTCGTGACAATAATTGGATAATTAGATTGTTTGAAATGATTGTCCAGAAGTGTCCGAACATTACCGCAGTTACCATAAGATTAAGGTAAGGGCTTTAATCTATTTATTTTTATTGATGAAAATAATTTTTATTATAAAATATTTATTGTATATATTATTAGTTCATACTATAGTTCAATACTTTCCGGTGCTGTTTATATGATGAGCCGTTTAATCAATTTATTAATGAAAAACTGTCACCGATTGCGACACTTCTCTATTAGATTTTATAACTACGATTTCTTGTCGGACGGCGATTACTGGTCGGACATCTATAATATGTTTAAACTGTTTATCTGTCAATTTGGCCGACAATTGTTGACATTCAAGTTTGACGGCTATAATCAGGAATTTAATAAACTATTATTTTATGAAGTGGTCGACAGTATGCCTGACTTGAAAATACTATATAACGGTTCTGTCCAATTAAACGACATATTCATTGGTAATAATAATATGTATTATTCGTTACCGAAATCTTTGCAATCATTGAACATAACACTGAATGAGTCGTCGATGCCTTTGTTCACTAAATTTGCCGAAATATTTGGCCAACAATTGACATCATTGACGATATGGTTTGAACAATTGATAGTTAATGATGATGACGAAGATGAATGGCCCAATTGGAACAAATGGTATATCAAACCATTAGCGGCCAGTTTTGAACAAATGTCGCGATTAAAACAACTCAAATTTGAATTGAAGTACGATTTGGACACCAAATTTATCGGCGATATATTTTCTACAATTGGCCGCAACTGTCGCCAACTTAAAGCATTTGATTATCACTCAGAAAATTCAAATATAGAAACAATTGGCTGTATGTTTGCCACAATCAACAAACATATGTCACAACAATTGAGACGATTATCAGTGATTTGTATGACTTATTGTGACAAACAATATATAGATATTTTAAAGACAAACAGTTTATTAAACCGATTGAACGGATTAACACATTTGACAATTCAATTATATAATGATAATCTAATCGATGATAAGTTTTTCCGTGACATTCATCTCAATCATCCGCGACTACAGTATATAGACTGTGATTGTCTGTCCATTACTGAAGAGTCGATCCAATCGATGGGACAGTTGGCACACCTGACGGATGTCCATCTCTGGTGTGATATAAAAAAACTGACAATAAATGAATCATTTATTTCCAATCATTTACTTAATGGTAATAAAGTTAAACACTTGTCTATTCAGTGCATAAATTCAAGAATAGGTTATCAAGAATTTAAATTTGGAAAATATATTAATCCTATTAGTGATTGGGATTATAATGCAAATTACGAATAGACTTATAAATTATAAGTTATAATTAGAGTTAGAAATAATGTATATTTAAATTTATATTACAATTAAATAATTTACAAATTTGTATATATATATATATATATACAAAAATTTATATTACAAATTGTAATTTACAATATACAGTATAGCGATTGTTTTATTACTAAAATATCTACCGGTAATTTGAAAACTGATTTTTTGGATTAAAAAATAAAATTTAATTTTTAATAACCGTTTCAATAGACAGTTGTGTGGTTTGTAATATAAAATTATGAAAATAAATATTATAAACAGGTTTTTGGATTAAAAATAAAAGTTAATTATTGTAATATCCATTTCAATGGATGTTTTGAATGTTTGATTAAAAAAATATATATTAGAGTATTATAAATTATAGAGTATTTAAATATTAATGTTTACTTTTTTTAAAATAAATAATTACATGGCATTAATATAATGTATTATAAATATGTTTGTAAATGTTTAATAGAGACGTGTAAATTCATAACATTTTTATTTTATAGTAATTGAAAAAAGTAATTAGCGTTTTTTAAACCAATTGAATTAAATCATTAAAAAATGACAATAGATTTATATCTAAATTTGAAAATTTAATTATTATACTAATTAAACAACAAAAACAATTATGGTCTCAATTATCACAAACAAAATGTTCATTAAATATATAAATAAAAATGAGTATAAATTATTATAGTTACATAATTATTTTATTGTAATGTTAATGTTTGTTTATTTAACTAATTAATATAAAGTTATTTTAATTAAAGTTAATTTTCAAATCAGTTTCAATAGACAGGTGTGTTTGTGTGTGCTTTGAATGTGTGATATAAATGACAAACACATTATATGTGCGATGAAAGTGATCGACATTTCTAACAATTATTATTGTGTGAAGACATTCAAACAAACAACACATTTGAATATGAATTTAAATCAATTAATTCAATTGAAATCTATTGCAAATAGTTTACAACAATTAAGTGATAATTTTCGTGTAATATGTGATAAAATTGTATGCAAAGTAAATATTACAACAAATGATTGCAATTCATTAAAAATTATCGATAATTACTGTTTTAATGACTACAACACACGTGTGGATAACAACAAGCGATTCACGTGTTTTTGGCCTAAATGTCGATATAAAGCAAAGAGAAATTATGATTTAAATATACATCAATTGATTCATTCATCTGACAAACAATTCAAATGTGATTTTAATGATTGCAATCAAATATTTTTAAGTAAAGATATTCTTCAAACACACAAAAATGTTAAACATTTAAAAATAAACTTTATTTGTGATGTCAATGATTGCGATAAAAATTTCACTACAAATCGACTATTAATTAAACATAAATCAAGAGTTCATTATAATAAGCGTTCAATTATTTGCTATTATAATAATTGTCWCAAAAAAGTTGCAAATAAAGCTAATTTGAAATTACATTTATCTGCTGTACATCTAAAGGTCATACGGTTTAAATGTGATGTCGAGTATTGCGAGAAAACATTTTTAACAAAATTTCAATTAATTTCACATAATTTACAACATTTACGAAAAAATAAATTTATGTGTTCAGTAAACGAGTGTTTGAAAGGTTTTACAACAAATCATTGTTTACGACAACACATATCAAGCGATCATTCAATTGAACCACAATTTAAATGTAATTACAATATATGTAACAAAAATTTTTCATCAAAACAAAGTCTCGATTATCACAAACAAAATGTTCATTAAATATATTAATAAAAATAAAATGAATAAAAATTATTATATTTACATAATTATTTTATTGTAATATTAATATTAATTTTTTATATAAAATTAATTAAAACAGTTTTTTAGATTATCTGTAAATTAATTGTGATTTCAGTTTTAATAGTCAAGTATGACCTTTGAATGTCTAATAAAAGAAAATGATAATAAAATTTATTACATTTAATGATTAGATTGTTATTAAAATTAATAATTTATTTAAACAAAAAATTTAATAATAAGTAATATTTATTATTTTTGTTTTATTAATATTATAATTAATATTTAGTTATTTTTTAAATTGTTTTTATATATATTATTTAATAGATTTATTATTACAATATTAATGTTACTTTTATTTTAGACAAATAGATGGCAATAATATTTTTTTATATAAATTAAGTGATAATTTTATTATCAAATAAATATTAATATCATGTTTACTATTAATATGTTTATATGTAATGTTAGATAAGTGTCATTCATATCATTTTGTTAGACAATTTCGAAAACCGAACCGCAATTAAATACAAATAAAATTATAATATTAAACAATAATTTTATTTTAATTATATAATCAAACAAAATAAAATTATTTATAATTAATTTACTAAAAATCTACTTTAAAATAATTAAAAATGAAAATCTAAATTACAATTAATAAAGTACTAAAACCCGGAACCGAGTCGTTATTGCATTCAATAGTCTATTGTATTGTAAATTAATGCGTCAATAGTTATACTGTTGTTATGTATTGTTGTTATTGTTTACAACAATTAGACATTTGTTTTGTTTTTAATTAATTATTAAATTAAATGTTAATAATATTATTATTTTACTATTAATAATAATAATAGTATTATTTATTAGATGTTATAATTTTAATAATCATTTTGTTTACTTAATTATTACTATATTTTAATTAATTAATAAATAATAATAAAATTAAAATTAATAAATAGTTAATAAGTAATTGTTTTGTTTGTTTGTATTGATTGTCATATATTTTATACATAATTATAGCCAAACTGTAAGTCTATTTAGTTATTAATTATAATTAATATATTGTTTATAAAATTGTTTACAAAAATTAAACATTTGTTTAGTTTTTTTTAATTAATTATTAAATTAAACATTAATTATTAAATTAAACATTAATTATAGTATTATTTTAACAATCATTTTGTTTACATGATTACAATATTATTTTTTAATTAATTAATTATTTTATTGCCATATATTTTGTATACAATTATAATTAATTAATTATAATACAAATGATTTGAATGATTAATACAAACAAACAAAACAATAGTTATTGAAAACATATGAATGAATGAAAAGTGAAGATCATTGAAGATAATGACCACAACTTCATAATTATTATAATTATATATTAATTAATTAATAGTTAATAACTAATTGTTTTGTTTTTTGTTTAGTTAACAATTGATTGCCATATATTTTGTACACAATTATAGCCATAAAATGTAAGTTAATTTCAATTTAGTTATTATAATTAAATAATAATATATTGTTTATGATATTTGATTAATACATTTATATTATAATTAAACTGTATTTTAGATTTTGAATTGATTGACACAAAAACAAGACTTACTGAAGACTTGATTGAATTAATGAAAAGTTTAAAAATAACTGAAGAAAATGACCACAACTTCAACAACAGTTATGACAGCAAAAGTTTCGTTTGATCGCTTCGGCGATGATTTGTGTCAACTATTGCTTCAATATCTGCCAATCGATGACAAACTAAGACTGGAATCGGTGTCCAAACAGTGGCAGTCATTGATATTTAATACACAAACGGATCTCGAATTTGATTGGAAACTAGTGAAGAATTTATCTTTGGATTCATTGACTGATAAACAAATAAGTGGTTTGTTTGAATATATTATCAAAAATTGTCCAAACATTACAACACTAACAATACGTGATATCTATTTTTGGGAAATTTTGTTTGACTTATTGATTAAATACTGTTTACAATTGAGACACATATATCTGATTCCTAATACAACTAATATTCAGTGGCAGATAATTGAAGATAAATTTGATCGTTTTTGTCGCCAATTTGGCCAACAATTGATGACATTTAAGTTTCATAACTACTGTAAAAGCAACGAACAATTCTTTTATAAATGTATCGATTGTTTGCCAAATTTGAAGACATTGGACATAAAATATTGTGGTATTTCTGATATTCAATTCACTGATATATTTACTGCCAATAAGTCATATGTTTTGCCAAAATCATTGCAATCAATGTCACTAACACTGAATAACTTTACGGCCACATTGTTTGCTAAGTTTGCCGACACTTATGGCCAACAATTGACATCTTTGGACATATTTATTAATTCTACAAATTATTATATAGATATTTATGAATCATTGATTACCGGTTTTTCACAAATGAAACAATTAAGACAATTGACGATTAAATTTAGAAGATTTTATATCGATAAGCTGTTATTGGCTACTATTGGCCGCAACTGTCGCCAACTGAAAGCGTTTTACTTATCATACGACTACTTTAAAATGGATATAATTGGTCTCATAATTAAGACAATCAATAAACATATGTCACCGCAATTGAAACGATTATCACTGAAGTCTTATCATAGTTATGATAACAGTGATTTAAAACTGACCAGTGGTTCGTTAAATCGATTAAACGGATTAACACATTTGACACTTTGGTTTAATGATTTCTCGATAATTGGTGACCAGTTTTTCTGCGATATTCATCTCAATCACCCGCGACTTCAATATATAAAGTGTAGCAAAGTGTCCATTACTGATGAGTCGATCGCCGCTTTGGGACAGTTGGCACACCTGACTGATGTCTACCTCTGGTTAAACAATCTGATGAAAAATGAATCCTATAATAAACAGCATTTACTGATTGGTACTAAAGTTAAAAACTTGTCTATTAAATACATGAATTCATTTGATAAACACGTGTTTAGTTGTGGCAAATATTTTGATGGTCATAATTAAGATAACTTTTCAATTATTATTAAATAATTTTAACAGTTTTGTTACAATTTATAACAATTACTATTATGTAATTAATTAACTCTATATAGCCTATATATGTTAGCTATATTATTATTACTACTAAACTTAAACTTATTATAACTATTAAATCAAATTTAAACAATATATCGATACATTTTGTTTATAAAATAAATAATTAATATAAAACAGGTTTTAGGATTAAATTTTTATTATTAGAGTTATTTGATATCCGTTTCAATAGACAGGTGTATGGTTTGAATGTGTGATATAAATGACAAACAAATTATATATGCGATGAAAGTGATTGACATTTCAAACAATTATTGTATGAAAACAATCAAACAAAAAAACATTTGAATATGAATTTAAATCAATTAATTCAATTGACATCAATTGAGTCATTCATCTGAAAAGCAATTCAAATGTGATTTCAATGATTGTAATAAAATATTTGTTAGAATAAGAGGTTTGAAATATCATAAAAATGTTAAACATCTAAATCTAACTTTTATTTGTGATGTCAATGATTGCCATAAAATGTATTCATTATAAAAGTCGATTATTTGTTTGTAATTATAATAATTAAGGCAAAAATTTTCTAAAGAAAAAAAAATTTGAAAACACATTTATCGGCACAAAATAAATTTTATTTGTGATGTCAATGATTGCGATAAAAAATTTCACTACAAATTGACTATTAATTAAACATAAATCAAGAGTTCATTATAAAAAGCGTTCAATTATTTGCTATTATAATTACAATTTGTCACAACTGTCACAAAAAAATTTGCAAATAAGGCTAATTTGAACTTACATTTATCGGCTGTACATCTAAAAGACAAACCGTTTAAATGTAATGTCGAGTTTTGCAATAAAATATTTTTATAGTATTTTCAAAATAGACATAATTTACAACATTTACGTAAAACTAGATTTATATGTTGAGTGACAGTGTGAGTGCGCAACCGAAAATAGTACCTCTACACTATCAACTGAAACATTGTTTTGATATATAGTTAAATAATAATTTTTCAGTACAGTAAGTGCCAACAAAGTTTAACCACAATAATTAACAAATATATTTATATTTAGTTGCAATAAAATTTTATTAAATATTATAATTTAAAAAAATTAAAGTTCGTTTAATTAGTAAAACAATCATACTTAAATAATAAATAACATAATACTTAAAAATATATTTTATATTAAATTAAAAAATTAGTTTACAGATAAAATGAAGGAAAAATGTATTTATTTATATTTATAATAGACATAGATGCAGAAATTGATTATTATTGTGTTTACTTAAATGTTTTTTATATATATTTCTATTATTTTCATTGTGATATTTAATTATTTTTTATTTTAATATTGTGTTATTTAAATTATTAGTAATAATATCAAAAATTTGTTATTAAAATTTAATTAATTATAACTATTAATTTCTTACTATTTTATTTTTTATGTGGTATTTTAATAAATATATTTGTAAACTTTGGTTTAACTTCGTCGGCACTTACTGTACATGAAATTAATTTTTTAAAACAGTGCTTCAGTTGATAGTGTAGAGGTACTATTTTCAGTTGCGCACTCACACTGTTCAGTGAACGAGTGTTTGAAAAGTTTTACAACAAATCATTGTTTACGACAACACATATCAAGTGATCATTCAATTGAACCACAATTTAAATGTAATTACAATAATTGTAATAAAAATTTTTCATCAAAATATGGTTTCAATTATCACAAACATTGTTTACATTCAATATATTAATACTGTAATAAAAGTTTGACATCAAAACAAAGTCTCATTTATTACAAACAAAGATTTCATTTAAAATATTAATTTTTATATATTTATAAATTTTATTATAAATTATTCAATTTAATTCTAATATTGTAATAAATATATAATTTAAAGTTAATTAATAGTTAATTAATTGGGTATAAAATATTAACACTACTGTTTTGACAAAAATGTTTAATGATTTAACAATTAAAATATAATTTTACTGTATTTTATAAGATTATATATTTATTATTATACAGTATTTAACTAAAATAAATAATTAGATGGCATTAATAATATATTGTATTAATTTATAAATTTGTGTTTGATAAAAACGTGTAATTCATAGCATTTTTATTTTATAATAATTGAACCAAACCGTAGTTGAAAAAAATATATAAAAAGTAATTTATTGGTGTTTTTTAAACCAATTGAATTAAATCAGTAATAAATGACATTAGATTTTATCTAAATTTTTCAATTTAATTACTAATTAAACAACAAAAACAATTTTTTAAACTGGAAAATAAGTGATAAACCCGGAACCAATAGGTTATCCGTTAACTACTCTAATGTATTAATTGACTAATAATTGTGTCAATACTATTGATTCAATAGTTCAGCACTTAATGTATTGTTTAGTATTGAAAACATGAGGTTTTAGTTAATTATTAAATTAAACAATTAATTACTGGTTTAGTGTATATTAATATTGGATTACCATTTAGTTATATTTAATATTATTGTAGTTAAAAATCATTTTGTTTTTATTAATTGTTATGATATTTAATTATCAAATAAATTAATTGTTTGTTTGTTAAAAAAAATATTGTTTTTTTGTTTTTTGGTTTGTATTGATTGCCATATATTTTGTACACAATTATAGCAAAAAAAATGTAAGTTAAATTTTATTTAGTAATTAATTAATATATTAAACAAATAAACATAAAATATTATAACTTTTAATATCATATATGATATTTGAATAAAACATTTATTATACTATGATTGTGAAGATCAGTGAAGATAATGACAGCGAAGAAGGATTCGTTTCACAGCAAAAAATCGAAAATTTAAGGATTCATAAAACTGAATATAAAAATAATTTTATGTATGAAAAGTGATTTTCATTTAACTGAATATTTAAAAATGTTGTTTTACATAAAACTACACAAAAAATAAACACTTTAATGCATAATGAGTTCAATTTTATGTATAACTATGTAAATTCATAAATCTGCAGTTTTTAAAAATTTTTGTGCAGAGCTGTTCAAAATAACGAGACAATAAATGCCAGCATTTATTGTCACGTTATTTTGTGAACAGTATTTTTTTTATTTATGTCGTCATTTGCAGCCATTTTTATTAAATGTAGTTATTTCATAGCACATGCCATATACTCAATACAATGGCTTATCATTTTGATGATATAATTGATATATCTTCTGATGAATCTTCAGAAGAATCTTCAGAAAATGATTGCTTTTTTGTTGATTACGAAGAAAACAATATCGACATAGAAAGTGGACCCGAAATTGGCTCAAACAATGAAAAGTCAATTGATACCAATAATGAGTCTAATGATAGTTTGAAAGACATACCACAAAATCAGTGATTTGGACCAAATGATAATAGTTTCACATATTATTAATAATGATTTAAATTTTGAATCTGTGGATATTTGGCCAAAAGTTAATGATATGCCGATAGATTCAAATGATAAGCCAATGGATATGTCGATAGAAATAAATGATGTCAATGGATATGCCGATAGAATCAAATAATGAGGTATGGATTGAAAACGAAAAAGATAAGAAAATATGTGGTCAACTGAAAGCTTTTCCCAAAGACTGGAATAGTATTTTTTAAAATACGGATTTTTACACAAAATTAAGTATAAATTTTTTATAAATGCTAGCATTTATTATTAATTTTATTATTAATTTTTTTTTGTTTTAAATTTAGTCAAAGTTTGAAGACAACTCCAATTTCAATATCATATTATGGGGTAATTATGTATTAATAAATGAAAGCATTTTAATTATAACATTAATTTATTTTAAGATAAACGCAATGTTTAAACATCGTACTGGAATGTCATTAAAAACATTGCATATAATATATGAAAATCGGCTAAAATTATATCTCGAAATAAACAAAACATCTCTATTAAGTAACAGTAAGTTAATGCATAAATATTATATAATAAATTATATAAATGTCTGCATTTATTTTATTTTTTTTATAATTTATTACAGATTTAAGCAAAATGATGACATTTATCAAGAACTTTGAGGAACAGTTGGCTAATAACGGAACCGAAGAGTTTATTAAAAGAAGAACTGAAGTCCAAAACAGGTTTAGTGATGACAAACGGTGATTGCGGTAAAAATGTTAAAATAATTTTTAAGTCAGTTGTTATTAATGATAGTAATATATTTGAAGCATTGTTTTATTTAATTGTTATTAATTATACATTTAATATTAGTTACCCTAAAGATATAATGAATTCACTAATTTTTTATGAATATTGTTTATTTGACATGTCTTACAGTAATCTTATAGCACATAACTCTGTTAAACGTTTATTGAAATCCATATGCAATATAATAACAATAGAAATATAATTACAAAATATGATGTCATTAGTTATATAATTATAAATTGATTACATAATTACAAATTATTATTACACTAAGATTTAATTAATACATAACAATATATAAGTGTTGTTTAGTTTAACGAAAATTTATAATAAAAAAATTGTATAATAAATGCATGCATTTATTATACAATTTTTTTAATTATAAATTTTCGTTAATATATTATATATTAATTGATTTGTTTTTTAAATATAAATAATTTTTTTTGGATTTAAACAATGTTTTTAATTATAAAATATTTAGTTTATTAAATTATTATTATTATTATATATATATGAAATATACTGTATTATAGTGAATATAATTTTTAATTTTGTGTATTTATATGATATAAATTATTGTATTATTATGAATATTATTATTAATTTTTTGTATTTTTATATTTTTTTAAATGTATTAAAATGAATAAAAAAGTGCATTAAAATAAATTTTATTATTAATTTTTTACATTTAAATACTTTTTTTATTTATAAATATGAATAAATAAATTCATTAGTATACATAAGTTTATTATAGACTATGCATTTATATGTATTTTTGGTTTTAATTTTGTGCAGATATCTGCAATTTTTTATTCATATATATGCAAAGTGTATTACGCATGTGTGTATATCTATGCATTTGTTAATTAACAAAGTGTATGACATAAAAGTGTAGATAAATGCATGCATTTTATTATTAAAAAATTGCAGATAAAAACTGCAGATATCTGAATACAATTTTTATAAAAAAGTGTATAAGGACTTCTCAAATGGCATAAAACTGAATAAACACATCATTTTTTTCTTGCTGTGCGTTTGATCGCTTCGGCGATGATTTGGCGGAACTATTGCTTCAATATCTGCCAATCGATGACAGACTAAGACTACAATCGGTGTCCAAACAGTGGTTGGCATTGATATTCAATACACAAACGCATCTCTTATTTAATAAGAAACTATTGAAAACAATGTCTTTGAATTCAAGTCGTAACAATTATCCGATAATTAGATTGTTTAAAGTGATTGTCTCAAAGTTTCCAAACATTACCGCAGTTACCATATGTGAGGGGTAAGGGTTTGATTTATTTTTTGTTTTTTATTGATGAAAATAATTTTTATTATAAAATATTGTTCATATATTATATTTCAAGACTACCCGGTGCTGTCCATATGATAAGTCATTGCATTAATTTATTAATGAAAAACTGTCACCGATTGCGACACTTTTCTATTATGTTTAACTATAACCGTCTCGTATCGGACGGCGGTCTCTGGTCGGTCATCTATCGTACGTTTGAACGCTTTTTCTGTCAATTTGGCCGACAATTGTTGACATTCAAGTTTGACGGCTATAATCAGGAATTTAATAAACAATTATTTTATAAAGTGGTCGACAGTATACCTAACTTGAAAACACTATATACCAGTTCTGTCCAATTAAATGATATATTCATTGATAATAATAATATGTATTATTTGTTACCGAAATCGTTGCAATCATTGAATATAACACTCAATGTTTCGGCAATGCATTTGTTCGCTAATTTTGGCGAAATTTTTGGCCAACAATTGACATCATTGACGATAACGTATAAACAATTGATCGTTTATGACGACCACAACGACTTCCATTACTATGAGGATCTATGGTCCGATTGGATCAAATGGGATCTCAAATCATTATTAGCTGGTTTTGAACAAATGCCGCGATTAAAACAACTCAATTTTTATTTGCAGTATGATTTGGACAACAATTTTATCGGCGATTTATTTTCGACAATTGGCCGCAACTGTCCGAAACTTAAAGCATTATACTATAGGTCAGAAAGTTCAACTTTAGTAACAATTGGCCGTATGTTTGCCGCAATCAACAAACATATATCCATACAATTGAGACGATTATCATTGGATTGTTTTACTACTTATGATGGCAAAGAATACATTGATTTTTTAAAGACAAACAATTTATTAAACCGATTGCAAGGATTAACACATTTGACAATTCAATTACATAACAATAATCTAATCTATAATAAGTTTTTCCATAAAATTCTTCTCAATCATCCGCGACTACAGTATATAAACTTTGATTGTCTGTCTATTACTGAAAAGTCGATCCAATCGATGGGACAGTTGGCACACCTGACGGATGTCTATCTCAAAGGCAATCGACTCAAACTGATAACAAGTGAATCATTTCTAACCAATCAATAACTAATTGGTACTAAAGTTAAACATTTGTTTATTCAATACACGGATTTAACATCAGTTTATCATGAATTTAAATTTGGAAAATATATTAATAATGATTATTATAATATTAGTGATTGGGATTGTTATTATGATTCAGATTATAAACATTATAAGTAGTTAGAAATGGATGTATATTTAAAATTATATTACAGTTAAATAATTTACAAAATTATATGTACTTAATATAAAGAAAATTGTGATACTTTTTTTTATTACAAAAATATATAATATATGAAAACTGGTTTTTGGATTAAAAAATAAAAGTTAATTTTGATATCCGTTTCAATAGACAGGTGTATGTGCTTTGAATGTGTGATATAAATGACAAACAGATTATTATATGAGCGATGAAAGTGATGGCCATTTCAAACAATTATTGTGTGAAGACATTCAAACAACACATTTGAATATGAATTTAAATCAATTAATTCAATTGAAATCAACGGCAAATAGTTTGCAACAAATAAGTGATAAATTTCATATAATATGTGAACATTTAAAATGTGAATAAAATATTACTACAAATTATTGCAATTCATTAAAAATAATCGATAACTACTGTTTTGATGACAACAACAACACATGTGTCGATAATAACATAAAATTTAAGTGTTTTTGGCCTAAATGTCGGTTTAATAGTAAATATGAATTTGAGTTAAATACTCATGAATTTAGTCACTCATCTGACAAGCAATTCAAATGTGATGTCAATGATTGTAATAAAAGTTTAACATCAAAACAAAGTCTCAATTATCACAAACAAATATTTCATTGAAAATATTAATTTTGATATCTTTATAAATTTAATTATAATCATACAATTTTGTAATAAGTATAAAATTTAATGTAAATTTACAAAATTCTCGAAAAATCTTGGGGGGGGGGTATTGGGTGGGGTAAGATTTTTATTGCATTTTTAAACGGCAATTTTTTCAAAAATCAAAAATCAAGGGGGGGGGGTCAAGAGAAAATTCCCTAATATTCCTTAAATTCCCGAATATTCCCATGTAAATTCGATAAAGATCCCATAAGTTCCCGTATAAATTCCCAGGAAAATAGGTAAAATTTCAAAAAATACAAAAAAAACTTAAAAATTAACAAAAACTTAAATTTTAACAAAAAATAAAATAATAATGTATTTAATACTTAAAAATAGTTGATAAAATTATTAATGATACATTATGAGTTTTTTTGTATTTTAGTAATTTTTAACTTTTAAAATAATTAATTTTTTAAATAATACTTAATGTTTAGTTTATAGTTTATAGATATATAATTTGTTATTTTTATATAAATACTGACTAGTGACTTTAGATATATGTGACTAAAATTTATGTTTTATTGAATGAAATATTTGCTTAAAAACATGAAAATGTGATTATATTTTGTTAAAATAGTCAAAATATGTGATTATATTTAATAACAATATAAAAATTGTGTACAATTAATGATAAATTAATATTTTTTTTCTTATCGAAACTTTTAAACTCTTAGTATAAATTAAAATCAATACAAATAAATATTTAAATCTTATTGTCTTTTATTAGATATTAGAAATTAGTAGAATTTTAGAAAACATAAATATTATGATACAGTATTTGTCTAAAATTATGAAATAGTAATAATGTATAATACATTAAATAAAAATAAAATGCTTATTTATTTTAAAATATTGAAAACAATAATACATATACTAAAAAAACATAATAAAAATGCATTTTTACTATTATTATCCATTATATTATAGTTATATGCAAAATATGTGCTTATATTTGATAATATGTGACTACCTTTTAAAATATGTTGTTATATGTGTTTATGTGACTAAAACTTTTGCTATAATAATCAGTTTTCAATCAATTGTTTATATATCTAATTATTTTGTTAATATCTTTAATCACTAAAAATATAAGTTATATGTGAAATAAATGCTCTAATACTGACTGAATACTTATTAAAAAATTGAAATTTTAAAAAATATTAATAAAAACCTTGTAATATAAGTATTTATTGATTTATTAACTTCTTAAACTATCTTAAACTTATATTTAAATTGTAATATTATTACTCTTTTCAACAAATAGGTAATTTATAATTTTTTAGTTTAATATTTTAATTAAAATTATGTTATTTTTAGATGAGTTTTAACGTTATTTTAACTTTTTTACTTATTTTTTACTTAATTTCGCCGAAATTTTAGGGGGGGGTCATTTCTCCTCGTTTTTAAGCGACAATTTTTTCCATTTGGTCAAAAAGTCTGGGGGGTAAAATCACAAATTCTCGATCTTAGGGGGGGTATTTTTGGCCTTACCCCCACCCCACCCACTTACTTAACCCTGATATATATATACAGACTGTATAATACAGTATATATTATAAGATTATAGATTTATTATTATACAGTAAAACAGTTTTATTCATAGATGCAGAGCATCTGACACGCATTGGCTCATATTAGTACTAAATATGTAAGGGTCAGTTTGTGAATTTTTATTTTAAAAAAATATATTGTTGAGATGTAAGTTTAAAATTATATTTTAAATGGCATTTATAACATTAGACTATAAAATAGTTTTGTTACCATAACAATATAAATTTTTAAATTAAACTATGATTGGATTATGTCAATTGCTCCTCATGACTGGTTTTAAATAAATATTTTTGTAAAATGTAAAAATGTTTGATAGAGACGTGTAATTGATAGCATTTTTATTTTATAACAATTGAACCGAACCGTAGTTGAAAAAAATATATAAAAGAAGTAATTTATTGGTATTTTTATACCAATTGAATTAAATCAGTAATAAATGACAATTGATTTATATCTAAATTTGAAAATTTAATTATTATACTAATTAATCAACAAAAACAATTTATTTTTAAAACTGGTAAATAAGTGCTAAACCCGGAACCCAATAGCTTATCAGTTAACTACTCTAATGTTTTGTTTTAATTGTCAACAATAGTTCAGCACTTAATATATTGTTTAGTATTGAAAACATGAGGTTTTAGTTAATTATTAAATTAAACAATTAATTACTGGTTTAGTGTATATTAATATTTTGATAAACTATTTATTTATTTAATATTTTGTAGTTACCAATTATTTTGTTTTTATTAATTGTTATGATATTTAATTATCAAATAAATTAATTGTTTGTTTGTTAAAAAAAAATATTGTTTTTTTGTTTTTTGGTTTGTATTGATTGCCATATATTTTGTACACAATTATAGCCAAAATGTAAGTCAATTTTATTTAGTAATTAAGTTATATATTAAACAAATAAACTTAAGATACTATATTATAACTTTTAATATCATATATGATATCTGATTAACACATTTATACTATAATTATATTTAGGCTATAGTTTAGGTTTTATTTAATTGAAACTAAAAACTTTAAAAAACAAGACTTACTGAAGACTTGACTGAATTAATGAAAAGTTAAGATCACTGAAGACAATGACCACAACAACAGCTAAGAAGGACTCGTTTGATCGCTTCGGCGATGATTTAGCGGAACTATTGCTTCAATATCTGCTAATCGATGACAAACTGAGACTACAATCGGTGTCCAAACAGTGGCTGACATTGATATTCAATACACAAACAGATCTCGTATTTGATAGAAAACTAGTTAAGAAATTATCTTTGGATTTATTGACTGATAAACAAATGAATGGTTTGTTTGAATTGATTGTCAAAAATTGTCCAAACATTACAACACTAACTATAAGTCATATAAGTTACTATTTATATCAAAATTTGTTTGACTTATTAATTAAATATTGTTTACAATTGAGACACATATATCTGAATCATAATATTACTATTTATTGGCAGACCGTTGGCGACAAATTTGATCGTTTTAGTCGCCAATTTGGCCAACAGTTGATGACATTTAACTTCGATACCAACTTTGATGACAACAAACAATTGTTTTATAAATGTATCGATTGTTTGCCAAACTTGAAGACATTGGACATCAGATATTCTGCTACTAATAGTATTCATTTGTATGATATATTTACTGCCAATAAGTCATATGTTTTGCCAAAATCATTGCAATCAATGTCACTAAAACTGGACAGAATTACGGGCACATTGTTTACTAAATTTGCCGACACTTATGGTCAACAATTGACATCAT